TGCTTGAATAAATTCTTAAGTGTTCAAGTAATGTTTTTTTGTAATGTTTATTCTTTATACAACTTGGATGACATCACTTGAATGATGTAGTCACTTGGTTGGTACAAGGTCCTTCCCAATAAGAAGTGACAGCTGCATTGTGCTGCACTGTTTGTATGTTCAGTGTCGGCACTCACTTTCCAGCTATAGAGAGTTGACTTCTTACTGTTGTCAGGGGAACCCAAAGGGATCAGGTCCCTATGTTGATTCTTTATTTTCTGAAGTCATAGCAGCTCACATAAGCTTGAGTTCGTTGGTTGAATTGTGTACCAAGTGTATCAGCTTCCTTATCCGGTTCTTTGACAATAACTTTGTTAGATAATCAAAATATGAAGCTAAAGAACTATAAACCCATCAAAATACGTATCAATTATGAGTTAATTTATGTATTATTCTATGAGATAATGAAATTATTAAGACTAGAATTGTACTTATTCAGTAGTTAGCTATCATTGTTGCTTTAGTCAGTTATTGTTAGTTGTTAGTTAATGCTTAGCTGTCTATTAGCTTTCATTTTAGGATTAGTTAGTTAGCTTAGTGCTCAGTCAGTTCTCACTATATATAAGAACTACTGTGCAACATAATTGAGTTTGAGTTTTATTTTTCTCAAGTAGAGACTCACTCTCTGTTTCTCCTTTTTTCAGCCGATATACTGGAAGCTTCTAACTGCTTTCTCCTTTGTAGCTGCAAAACTTTCTAATCTTGAATTCCAAAGCTTGACATGGTATCAGAGCAGTTATCACGACTAAGTGATCCACAAAATTGAATTGCGCAGGGTACTGCATTCTTCGTGCTCAAAATTAGGGTTCATTTTGGTGCGATATCAATTCTCAAGCGAATGAATAAATCGAAGCTACACTCATTCAATTAAGGGTCTATGCAGCTTTATTCACTCGTTCAATCAGTGTTTCTTCTCTTTCATTTTCTGCTTTGAGCTAAATTAATCATGGCGATAGACGACCCAAATACAAAATTTACGATTGTGACAACAACAGAGATCTAATCGGCAATCGATGTAAGTAGTCCGCTTTATATTCATCCTTCTCACAGTCCTGAACTGGTTTTTGTTCTAGTTCCTTTTGATGGGCTAGGATATAGTTCATGGAGGAGAGGTATAATGGGGGCCCTCTCTATTAAGAGCAAATTAGGTTTCATCACTAGGGAATGTAAAAAAACTAATTCGAAGTCGATAAATTTTAGACAATGGGAGAGATGTGACGATATGGTAACTTCATGAATTTTGAATTCACTTGCTAAAGAAATTGTAGATAGCGTAGAGTATGTGAATAGTTCAGTTGAATTGTGGAGAGAACTTGAAGATCGTTATGATCAAATAAATGGGGCAAAATTATACCAGATCCAAAAGGCAATTAATGATTTGAGTGAGGAATACTCGACATTACTGGATATTACACTAAAATAAAAAAATTATGGGAAGAGTTAACTGATCTCAGTGTAGAAATCCCTCTGTAGCTGTTAGTGCACATGTGGTGCAAAGGAAAACATGCACAAAGTTGAACATGATAGAAGATTGATACAATTTCTGATGGGTTTGAATGAGGTTTATACTATAGTTCGAGCGAGCATACTGATGATGAATCCCTTGCCTTCAATGGCACAAGCCTTTGCACTTCTGGTGCAAGAGGAGAAACAAAGAGAATTTTGACCTAGAAATCAACTGAATTTTGAATTCACTTCAATGAATACTGGTACAACAATTCCAAGAGGATTCAGGACAAATTACTCAGTAAACAACACCAGACCCAGGCCCTTTTGTGACTTTTGCAAAAGACCAAGACACACCAAAGGTAAATGTTTCAAACTTCATAGATATCCACAACAGTTCAATCGACAAGGAGCCCAAAACCATAATTTGAATGCCCAAAATCACAATTAATATCCCAGGAATAACAATGGAAAGAGTATTGCAGTAAATGTTGTAACTAGAGTACAAGGCATGCCACTAGATGCAATGACAAACCAAGGAGAAGATCTGGATCATTAGGAAAGTCACAGTAACCAAAACATGAATCTTTCAAAGGAGCAATATGACCAAGTAGTGAGGCTGCTACAACATTTCCAAAGTGATGGTGCAGGAGATACTTCAAGCAATACAAATGTAGCCAATGGAATAGTAAACTTTGCAGGTATTGTGACCTGCAATTCTTCTATAGATTTTGACAAACTCTCATGCAAGTTCTTTCAAGCAAAGGCTGACTTATGAATTCTAGACTCAGCAGCTTCACACCGCATGACCTTTAACAAGACACACCTACAGAATATAATTGTCCTACCCTATCCTTTACTTGTGAAACTACCAAATGGTTACAAAGTGAAAGTAACAGAAGTGGGAACTGTGACTCTTACACCTGAAATAGTTTTATATATAGACCTACTTTTTCATTATTTCAAATACAATCCTATCTCTATCAGTTCATTCACAACACATCTCAAATGTCTAGCTTCTTTCTCTAACACATGATGTATTCTACAAGCCCCTTCTTGAAGAGGCCTCTGGAGATTGGTAAGGTTCATAATAGGTTGTATCTTCTCTGCTCAGATTACTTAAACAAAGGAAGTTCTGCTGTAGCAAAGAAGAGTGCAATTTCCTCTTTCTCCATGAGAAACAGTCATGATAGTGCAACACATTATTTTTCTCATTCTTGTCAATCTTGTCCTCCTATAAATATTCAGTGTCCTTCACATTCCTGCCACCCTTGTTCTACTGTAAATATTGTGTCTTCATCTTCTATTGTAAATACTTTCACCTGGAATAAATAAATAGGGGTTATGATTTTGACTCTTTTTTAATTGATGCAAGTGACACAAATCTGTTATGGCACTATAGACTTGGGCATGTACCTTTTGGGAATATGAAAGGAATGTCTAATATACCAGTGACATTTGTATCAAAACAACCTTTTCTTTGCTCTACATGCCCTATGGCCAGACAAACTAGACTTTTTTCCCATTAAAAGTTACAAACACCACTGCTATATTTGACCTTTAACATATTGATTTGTGGGGACCTTTATCATGTACCCACTCATGATAATTTTAAATACTTTCTTACTATAGTAGATGATTTTAGTAGATCCACTTGGACTCATCTACTCAGTTGTAAAAGAAATGCATTACACACTCTTAGAAGTTTCATATCTATGGTTGAGACACAATTTACTACCAATGTAAAGTGCATCAGATCAGACAATGGTTTGGAATTTACTAGTAGTGAAGCCACTCTATTCTTTCAGTCCAAAGGAATTGAACACCAAAAAATCTACCCTTATACACCCAACAAAATGGTATAGTAGAAAAAAGAATAAATACCTATTAGAAACTGCCAGAGACTTGATATTTCAAGCCAAACTCCCTTTGAAGTATAGGGAAGAATATGTACTTATAGCAACTTTTCTCATAAATCGATTTCCCACTGTAGCTTTAAAGAACAAATGTCCTTTTGAATTGTTGTATGGAAAGAAACCAAATTACTCACACTTAAGAAGTTTTGGTTGTATATGCTATTCTACTATTTCTAAACCTCATAGAGACAAGTTTGAGCCAAGGGCTTCTCCACATGTATTTGTAGGTTATCCTTTTGGTGTCAAGGGGTACAAAGTGTTGAGTCTAACTATCAAGAAAATCTATTTATCTAGAGATGTTGTTTTAAATGAGTCCATCTTTTCTTTCTCTCTTCCATCAGTGTTAGTTACCCACTCTTCCTTGCCTCATACTGTTGCACATCATGACCGCTCTACTATATTTCCCTCGTATCCTTCTCATAGTGTCACAACTCCTCAAAGAGATGTTTCTGTTACACCTATCTCAATGTCACCTAATCACACTATACACTCACCTATTTCAATGTCACCTAATCACATCATACACTCAACTCCTATCTCTAACACCGCTTCACCACAAACAACATCTCCAATTACTTCGAGAATTAATCAGCCCTCTCCTTCCACACTAAAACCCAATCAGAGAGTATCTAGTAGAGTATCTAAAGTTCAATCTTACTTGTCTGAATATGTATGTTCTGTTCCAAATCTAAAACAACCTCATAATGTTGAAGTCACTCAGACTAACTCACCTTTCTATCTCAATGCCCTTTTTACCCAAAATAGTCACATTACTCATGATGTCTTGAGTCTTGATAGCTAGCAGGTTGTGAGAAGTATTTGCAATGACAAGGAGCCCTTTTCTTATGAAGAAGCAGCAGAAAATCCTGCCTGGCAACATGCCATGCCACAAGAATTTGAAGCACTTCATGCAAATAACACCTAGACATTGGTTCCATTACTTGCTGGAAAGCAAGCCATAGGCTACAAGTGGGTATACAAGATCAAACATGAAGCAGATGAAAGTTTAGATAGATACAAAACTAGATTAGTTGTGAAAGGATATACATAGAAGGTAGGAATAGACTATACATAAACCTTTCTCCAATAGTAAAAATGACTATTGTTAGAGTCTTAATTGCTACTACTGCCAAGAATACCCAGGAGCTCTTTTAGTTGGATGTGAACAATGATTTCCTTCATGGAGATTTGCATGAGGAGGTCTACATGAACCTGCCCCAAGGTCTTACAGTCTCCTCTCCTGGACTAGTTTTCAGATTGAACAAATCTTTTTATGGCTTGAAGCAAGTCAGCAGACAGTGGTATACTAAGCTCACTAAATCCCTATACTCTAAAGGCTATAGTCATTTCATGCATGGTTACTCTCTATTCTATAAGAAGACTATTGATTGTGTAGTTTTTGATGGAGTCTATGTAGATGATGTCCCATTGACAAGAAATGACCTTCCTGAGATTCATATGTTGAAAAACTTCCACATGAGCAGTTCAAAATCAAAGATTTAGGGAGATTTCACTACTTCTTGATACTTGAAGTACTCTACAAAGATGGTGGAATTTTAATCTCCCAAAGAAAATTTGTCCTTGATATCCTTAAAGACTATGATTACTAGTTTTTCCTCTTCCCTTGATCCCAAAGTTAAATTGAAGGCTAAGGAAGGAACACCCTTGTCTGATCCTACTTTTTACACACAGTTGGTTGGGAAGTTAAACATCCTCACCAACACTAGACTAGATATAGCCTACGGAGTAGAACACTCGAGCCAATATATGCAAGATCCTATAGAGCCTCACCTTCAGGCTGCCTATCACATGCTTAGATACTTGCTCAAGGATCCTACTTTGGGACTCTTCATGTCCAATGATGCTGACTTCTCAGTCCAAGCCTATTGTGATTCTGATTGGGCTGCCTGCCATGATTCTAGGAAATCAGTGTCAGGTTATATTGTTCTATTGGACAATAGTCCCATTAGATAGAAATCTAAGAAGTAAGAGACGATCTCCCTTTCTTCAGTAGAAGCAGAATATAGATCTATCAGGAAGGTTGTTGGTTATCTTGTCTGGCTGTATCGTGTGCTTGCAGAGCTGGTTGTCCCTCTTGTCCTGCCTATTCCTATGTTTTGTGACAGTCAATCTGCTCTCCATATTGCCAGAAATCCCATGTTTCACGAGCGCACTACGCACATTGAAGTTAACTGCCACTTTGCGAGGTCCAAGCACTAAGAAGGTTTCATTTTGCTTCAGCACATAATGACTGGTGATCAACTCGCTGACATCCTCACAAAGTCCCTTATTGGGATCAAACATGCTACTGTCCTAGGCAAGTTGGTTGTGCTTCCCTCACCTCCAACTTGAGG